GATTTATCTTATCGTCGAATCGATATAACTACCAATTTTAAACGTAACTAAAACGTTTCTGAGACATTAGGTGAAGTAACGTTTCCATTTTCACTACGGATCAATCTCTATTATCATCGCAAATTGATTAAGAATAATAAAAATAACCAAAATACAAATACAAGATTCATAATGTGTATAGTCCTAGATCCTAGATATTAATGGAATCTCAATGAGATAGGTATCACTATCTTGTTTTCGACTCGAGACTTGATGGCGTCATTCATCCGTTTCTTCGCAAACTTCAACCAGTCCTTGGTTGCATCTGCAATATGGACATCAGTGGCTGCTTCAAACTTCCTTTCGACAGCAACTGCATAAATTATTCAATATGAATATAATGAAAAACGAAAAAAGAAATTTACATACCATAAATTAGTTGGATCACCTTTGTGTCCTTGAGTGCAGCCACTTTTCCTTTGCCTTTTTATTTGTAAAGACGAACTAGCTCATTGGTTCTCAAAATCCTCCATGTATGTTCCTCTGGAGAATTGCCAGCAATTTGACTTCAATTTTGTTATCTGAAATTTCGGCTCATTCGTGATCGAAACAAATTCTGGAGAATCAATGATAATTATTTATGAAATGTCTGTCTCATCATTCCTATCAATGTTCCTGAATATTGAGTACCAGTTCTCAACCATTTTCCAACCTTTATTTCATCAACGCATTCAAGAAGTGTTTCATCTACCTTCTATACACGTTTCATCACCGTTATAAGAGGTGGTTAGACAAAACGACTCCAAATGAGATGTGATTTTTCTAGACCGAGAATTTATAACTATGAAATATAATTAAAACTCCATGATATAAATTTGTGCAAGTTGGATCGAGTACCTACTGCATGGGAGTTTGTGAACCTTCCGACATGACATAATCGAATAAGTAGGTATAACTTTTGATAGGTGAATGTACTCATTTTGCTTCAAATTGATCATCCTTGCAATCGTCTTCAAGATATGACCATTGGAAATATTCGGAATTTGCACAATAGATAGGTAGAATTCAATAATAAAGTGGGTACTTACCAATCTCATATCTTCTCACATCCACGCACAACCTCTGAAGAATCACAATAAACTGTTAACCTTAATGGCGTCAGACGAACTGTGAGCATACTGGCGAGTGGCGGTGGCGGACTGCCGATAGGTCAGGTTCATTCAATACGAATACTTTTGAATGATTCATCCAACGGATCGAACACGTATTTTCAGAACGTTTAATAAACGTTAAAAAAGTTGTAATTATAGAACGTGGTATTAAGGTCGCTCGAAGATATAATTGTTATTCAATAATTCATTCAACGGATCGTACACGTAATTTCATAACGTTTAATGAACGTGAAGAAAAAAGTGCATGAAACGTGGAATAACGGTTTCTTGAAGATATAGTTGCTATGGAATAATAGATTCACCGTATCATACACGTAATTTCAAAATGTCTAATGAACGTAAAAAAGTATCTATCAATTCAAAACTGGAACATTATAGATTGCCCGAAGATGAAGTTATCATTGAATAATCCATTAAACGGATCATTCACGTAATTTCATAACGTTTAATAAACGCGAAGAAAGTAGTGATTGAAACGGGGAATAGAAGTTGCTCAAAGATATAGTTGCTATTGAAAAATCAATCAACGGGTCATACACGTGATCTCAAAACGTTTAATGAACGTGAAACAGAGTAGTAATTGAAACGTGAAATATAGGTTGCTTCAAAATATAGTTGTTATCGAATAATTGATTCAACAGACTTTATACGTGATTTTGGAACGTGGAATGAACGTAAAAAAAAGTACGTAATTGAAACGTGATAAAGAGGTTGCTCAAAGATTCAGGTTGCTGAACAATATCATACTCGACGTTATTTCGATGTTCTATGAACCTCATTGAATATACGATGAGGAATCACGATAATGACACGTTGCATACTGGTGGCTATATAGACGAGTTGAATCATTATCGTTTATTATAAGTTGAATCAACGTTTGGTTGAATATACGTTACGAAAGTAACGTTGCGAAATTCAACGAGTAACGTTTAATCAACATCCACTACTATACATAAACGTATATTACACGTGTGTGTGTTTATTGGGATATAGACCATTAGGTACTGATAGAATTAACATAAATCAAGTATTTGAGAAGTTTGACTGCATGGCCATTTTGGAAATAGAAATTCGTATTTCAAATAATAGAATCATAAGAAATACAGAATGATGACAGAACATCAGTATCATCCGACTAAAGAGAATATTACTGGAAGATTCGGATTCTTCCAGTAAATGTAACATACCTTATTATCTGCAACCTCATGGATGCATTTCAGAGATACCTACATTGTTTGTAACAGAATTATCCATATTATTATCCTACATTCACCCTTCCGATACCTCGATCCAGCGATGGTTTATTTCGGAATACTAAATGTCCGAATATTACCAAAAATTAATATTTTCGCTAGAAATATTAACAGGTTATGTTTATTCCTGGACGCCTTTGCAATTTGTATCTCCTCGTCTTTATTGCTCTATAAGCTGGTAGAGATTCTACGATCATATCTGTCGAATACAATAATCACATAATTCGTCTGGAAATTTTTCATTTTGAGATCTTTCTTCATTATTCATAAACAGAGCTGACCTAATTCACTGAATGTTCTTTTCAACTCTTTCATCTCTTGAACTAATGTCTACTAGATTTCTGTTTTTTCAAACGGCTATTGAACATACCTACCATCTGATCCTATTACTATATAATATGTATACTATATAGACCCACCTTCTTTATTCATTGCATTCTTCTGATAATCGGAAAATGTTCAAACTTTTTTGACGTTGCCTCCGTTCAAAAACTTCATCCACTATCATTGTTTGAGCAGCATTCAAACATGTCATAAAAATTCTTCAATATATTTTGGTATACTATTATTTGTCCAGCTGCAATGTTCATTAATTTTTTTGGGGACTCATGTTTAGAAAATTCTAACATCTCCCAATATCTTCTTGGTCTTTTTGTATACCATTTTCACTTCGTTGCCTTTGAAGTGAATTATTTTGGGACAATAAATGTAACTGAAGTTATTCACCTACATATTCTACCGTAAAATGACTCGTTTCAATCCATTGTAAGAATGATACTAGCACGAGCAAAAGAATCATCAAGAAAGCTCCATTCGCAAATGAGACAGTTATCCTTCCCGAATCTTTACTGTTTGTTCTTGTCTAGAAAGTCTACAAAGTTTATTTTTGAAACGTGCGAAAAGTTTATAGGAGACAATTTGTTGCTCACATTTCAATATATCAAAAGATATCATGAAAATCGAAATTCATATCGTGAACTAAAAAGTTATGAGATAAACTGAAGAGATGCGATGACATTGGAATTTTTTTCGCGAATTCTGTACAAAATGATACATTTTGGATCGAAAAATACTTCAATTTCCCAACATATTATATATGAATAGAATCTCCAGAATATTCTTAATCATTCCATGAAAAGACTGCGTATATAAGTGCTATAATTGTGAATTTACAAAGGATTATATATTTACGCGCGAAGTTATTTTTTTCTTAAATTTTCGGTTTTGGCCGCTTATAACTTTTTTCGGTACCATAGAAAAAAGTAGTCAAGCTGGAATATTATGTAGTAATCATTTATATTCAAGGTGGTGAAGGTCCCATATCTTTCTACTCCGAAAAAAAAAAGTCTATAAGGAAGAGGATTTTGCCTCGTTCTCCTCTACACTAAAAGTAATTTATTACGCGCTCGCGGAGTCCAGACTTAGATATGGCATTATTGGATGGGGTGGTGATGCGAAGCAATACTTAATAAGACTTGAGGTCATTCAAAAAAAGATTTTGAAAATATTGTTAAAAAAGGAAAACACTTATCCATCTACAAAGTTATTTCAAGATACGAAAACTTTCGACATTCAGCAACTCTTTTGTTACTCAATTATTATAAATCAATTCGATAAAAAAGATGAAATACAAAGAATCAATCACATGTACAATACTCGCCAACGCTACACAAAGTACAAGACACAACTTGCACAAAAAACCATAGGAAAACGAAATTGTTATTACATAATAATATGACCGAAACTATTCAACGTACTTCCTAGTGAAATAATTGAAATTTGCACAAAATATCGCTTTAAGAAAAAAGTTAAACATTTTCTTCAAGTACTGGATAAGTCGGAACTGAATAAATTATTTGATTGACACGTCGTTTCCATGAGCTATTAAATTAGGTACTAGAGTTATTTTGAATGTTTTTTTTTCTCAAGTATATATTGCTTCTTGTCTATATGTTAGTCTATGAAGGTGTATTGAATATTTGATTCATATTATTTTTGTATCTTTCGTCAAATTTCTAAAAATATCAATTAATCATACATTGATTTAAATTTTATTCAATAATAATTCAATAGTAATTAACTATCAATTCGAAATATTATTTGAACATACTATTTATATCATGAACATAATAATATAAACAAAATGATAGATAAGATATCCCACGCACAGTCTTTTGACTTTGTGGGTACCTCCGGTTTATTTTAATATTAAGACTATATCATTATCTACTTATATTATGATTTCTGTACTACCCGATTGTACTTGTATATTTCTATTTATGTATTCATGTTCATTATAATTAACTATTATTATTATTATTATTATTGCCCGTTTGAAACTTTCTGTGAGACCAATATTAACTGGAATATCTATTAAGTGACATATAAACAATCACCCTGTTTACATACTAATAGTTAAAAATTGTGGTGATAAGTAAAAAATGTCGTGAATAAACAGGCCCATCTTGTTAGCTTCACGGTAGAGAAGGCACTCTATATATCTCTCATTACTTACTCTGAGATTTATATACGTATTTTCAAATGAATCTCATCGTGAATATAAGAACGAAAATTCAAGCTGATATGCCTCACTTACGTATTTCACAGTTCTTTCCTGTGAAAGGATACTTGCAACCCTTCATACAGTATCCATCTATATGACGACATCTCGTATCTGAACAATATGGAGAGCATATTTCTTGACATCCATGACCATAGGTGCCAGGTTTACATTCTAGAACATTCGAATCTTCATTTTTTCGTTATTATCGATTAAGAAACATACCTTTACTGCAACTTTCTTCAAATCCAGGTGTGCAATGACATTCTTTATGACCATCGATATATTCGCAGTATTCAAAATCCGAACAGTAATCCATCCCAAAAATTGCACACGGTATGCACCGTTTGCCAAATGAATTTTCTGGACATTTTATACCTAATAAAGATCATTATGTGATTTTCTCCATACTTTTATTTTGTACTGTCTTTCAGAGCTATTATTAACTCTAAATAGTTTTTTGTGATAATATGGGTACACAGGGTGACATTAAAATAAACTCATATAATTAGAACCCTGGAAACGCTCAAAGAATGGTATCGAATGGTAACTTTGAAAGGATGAATATAGGGATCAAACTGAAACTTGTGCATGACCCCTTCTTTCGTCCAGATGTTATTTGAACGAATTATACTTAATATCTTCTCCATTCGTATATGAGAATGTTGAAATTTTTCATATTTAGTTAAAGTACGATATTCAACTCCATGTGAAACAATATTTTCATCAAATTTTAGTGTTAGTAGTGCTGAAGTTGAACATCCCAATTCAGAATCCCTTTAATATCATATTCAGTATATTATTCTTCATGGACTTACCATGGGTTTTTATTTCATCATTTCCGTCAGTATTCAGAAGTGTTTCTTCTTGAATCGCAATCGTTTGACAAGGAGTATTCCTTTCTTCAGATTTCAAATACCTATATTCTGATATAAAAAAAGTAATAAGTAGTGAAATAGGTATCTCCTGATATGATGGCATGATATGAAACACGTTCTAGAATAACTTGTAATTAGGACTTGGTGTTATAAATGTATACCATTTTCCTGTTCATCTCAATATTCATTGAATATTGAAAAGTACACTAGCCTTCAGATAACAATATGTCGCGATAAAACGGTGTGAGCGCTCTTATTGCAGCGTCGATTTAGGGAGCTCTCATACCAAAGAACTCAACATAAACACCTATATTGAGTTCATTGGCTGATACCGTCCATGATCGCCATGTTTTCTGAAGAAGAATGTATAGTCCAAGAGCCTGCTGCAAATTTCGACCGTCATCTAATAGTTCAGTCATTGGGGATCCAAAATAAGGCTCACCTGGAAAAAAGTCCGGAAGTTTTGAAACTTTGTAGGATTATAGTTTTGGGTGTCCAGAACTAAAATTCACAAAATGCACATTCCGGGACATGCCGCCGGCGCCGCCATCTTGCCAAGATGGCGCTCAAAAACGGTTTTTTGAAAATATCTCCAAAACGGTGCGTTTTTAGAAAAAATATGAAGACATAAAAATTTAAGATGAAGAAATTTTCTACAAGAAATGTTTCGAGCATATTCCTGCTAAAGAGAACCGTTTAGGCTCAAGAGCTGATTGAATGACAACATATTCTGTTAATTTCTATAAACTGCCCCTAACTATCTCCATATATGCGTATAAATTCATATTTTATAATAAAACGGACTATTAAATTTGTTCCTCGTTATATTGGACGATTTTTAGATCAATTATGCGACAAAAATTTTGCATTTGTGACTTGCGATTATTTGGGCGATATAAAAATTGCATTATCGACGAATCTGGCGACTTTGCTCCAGAAGTATGTGGGTGCAGGATGGTTATGAGTAAATTTCGTACCTATACTATGTATCCGTAGATATAGGTACCTTCTCGTACTGTAAAACCGCCCATAAATTCATAGAAATTTGAAATTTTGCTTTCTTGTCTTTACCACTCCATCCCAATATGAGTAAATACACGAAATATATATTTCAGATGAGATATTTTTATAAACGGTAAAAACACAAGAACTTCTTCATCAACTAAATTACCTCTCCTAACGAACACAATTTGCCAATCAGTAATTTTACGAGAAAAACGGACATGAAAAAATTGCGAGACCGTATTTAACCAAGGAAAAATGAAGTTCCTAACAACATTAGAAAAACATAATGAGTTACAAGATCATATTAAAGTTTTTAAAGATGAACATGCCACCCCTGATCAAGTTGCCTTTGCCGGTGAGAAATTTTTCCTTGCACTCTATGGATTCAAAGACACAAATTACACAAATCTTGATAAATATCGATACCAGTGTTTCGTGAAGTCGGTAACAAAAAGTAAATTCAATTTGGCATCTTTACCACCGACAAGCGCAGCTGCACTACAGCATTCGTTGAGAACGTACTATCAGGTTCAACTATGGCGTGGTTGTCCGAAAGTAGTTGAAGAATGGGGTTGGAAGAAAACACAAACTAGCCTCACTCCAATAACTACTTTGGAAGATCCTGCTTCCAAAGCACTACTTGCTTTTTTATCTTGCGAGTGCAAGGCGGCTTGTGGTAGAGCCTGCGGATGCAGGAAAGCAGGATTGCGATGTTCGATGATTTGCGGTGTCTGCAATGGGAAAACTTGTGAAAATATCAGCCAAGTGACACTGGACGAATCCGATGAAGAAGACCTCCATTCGCTGCATGATGATTCTTTATCGACTGCAGAAGAAGAATCCGACGAGTTGAAGGAAATTAACATCGATTCTGGAGCTGAGGTAACCAGTTTCCCCGTTGAATATATCGAAATCAACGAGCCAGGTCCGTCTGGCCTTTGCCAAAAATAATTTCAGTACCTGAGTGGATTAGAACTACAGGGGAAACCACGTTTAAAAAAACGCGCCGTGTACTTAGCCTTCTTGGGTGGTGTGGAAACAAGTACAGCATTTAAAATCTAAATTGATTGATCATGAATTATTAACATGGATTAATTTATGAATTCATCGATTAATTGAATAATGGATATCCACCGTTTCGTGATAAATATTTTTAAAGTCGTTAAATATCAGATTTGGGGACCCCTAATACACATATTATTTCCGAAACTCGCCACTACAGAAAACTTACGCAACATTTGTAATTTGGTAGGGGCACTTGTGCCTTAACGAGGGTACTTTAGCGAGAATATTCTAGGAACATATTTTATAGGAAATATCCTCTGTCAGCAAGCTATAAATATAACGAGAAACCAATTAGATAGCCCGTTTCATTATAAAAGATAAATGTAAACGCATATTTGGAGATAGTTAGGGGCAGTTTATTGAAATTAACAGAATATGATGTCATTCAATCAGCTCTTGGGCCTAAACGACTCACTTTAGCAGAAATATACTGAGAACATTTCTTGTAGAAAATTTCTTCATATTAAATTTTTATGTCTTCATATTTTTTCTAAAAACGCACCGTTTTGGAAATATTTTTAAAAAACCGTTTTTGAGCGCCATCTTGGCAAGATGGCGGCGCCGGCGGCATGTCCCGGAATGTGCATTTTGTGAATTTTAGTTCTGGACACCCAAAACTATAATCCTACAAAGTTTCAAAACTTCCGGACTTTTTTCCAGGTAAAAATCCCCAATGACTGGCCTATAATAACGAAATGATATATCTTCCAAAGCAGGCCCCTCTTCCCCACTGGGCACACTGGGCACATGCCCAGGGCCCCGCGAGGATTGGGGCCCCCTAGTCCCGACAGCTATTCTACTCTCGCCTGGAAATCAGGCTTACCGAATGCAGCATGTTCAATAAATTTCAACATAATTTTTCATTTTAATTGCCTTTCGCAATAATAATTCACTTGAAAAAAAGTGAAAAAATAATTATAGAAGTTTTGGTTTGTTTCTTCACTTGAAAACTCTGAATTCCGAAGAGTTGGGACAAAAGAAGACAAAAACAAAGAACTTACTGAAATCTACTATGAAGATGTAAACGAGAAAGAGTTAGAAATGGAATATCTGCATTTAACACAATACTTGAAAATTGATCAGAGTAAAAATGAAAAAACTAATAGTATACAGAAATATATCATCTTTTGAAAGAGAGCAAAATTGAAGACACCTTTCCTGATGTAGAAATCGCACTGAGAATCTTTCTAAGCATGATGGTAACTAACTGCAGTGGGGAACGCTCCTTCTCCAAATTAAGTAGTCCCTTATGTCGATAGAATGTGATATGGTGGAAAACATAGATTTCGAAAATGTTATGAACGATTTTGCTCAACTCAAATCTAGAAGAGTACCTCTTCAATCAACATAGATACTTATATAAGGAGTATAAGGACTAATCGTGGACGCTGGTTACTTAGTGTGGATTACATCATTACATGATATAATCTATTCATCATATCTGAAATAAAAATAATGCATTTCTACGTTATTTGTCTATTCTAACAAAATAGTACTTTATTATGGTCATAGGGGCCCCATTATTCTAATGTGCCCAGGGCCTCTAATAGGTGAAAGACGGTCCTGTTCCAAAGGCATGTAAAAACATTGTGGTTTATCGAACGGCACCTGTGCCATTCACTACCCTGAGCAAAATGATTGAGAAATCGCACTTCCTTGTGCGAAAATTTTCTCTAGAATCCGCGATTTGATAACGAGATAAGAATTATGCCGTCCGATACCAATTGAATGGTAGATTTCAAAAACTCACTTGTACCACCCCTCAGTCTAAACCAAATCCATGGCACAGCGATTTATTTTCTGTTATTATTCCGGACATATTTCCGTCATGTGATAAGGAGTGAACACGAGCTGCTCATTAAATTTTTATTTCTCGGTGATAGGTCCTTCGATTGGTGAAAGGATTATTTTTGGAAACTATCGGACAATTCAAAAAACTGCAAATTACGTTTTATTGATCGTATACCTAAACAAACATGAAGAAAATCTTAAATCTAGTACTTAGCTGAATGCCTATTGTCCTGACGAGTCGCCATCACTTCACTACAGTTTTTCTAAAATGTCAGTGCACCACTAAAATCTAAAATAGTTATGTTGTCGATGTCTGGGAGGCCCGTAGTTTTGTGAATTTGTAGTTAACTTTTATATATGGTACCATAAAAACTCTCAGGTAAAATCACGTTCATTCTTCGAGTATCACTCTCGATTACATACAAGATGTCACTTCGTATAAGACACGGATACCGGCTTCTTTGTCATGAACTTATCGAAGTTATTTACGAACGGTGACCACGAAGTTTACTCTCTGGATGGTTGTCACCCACCGTCTGCCTTTGAGCCTTTCCTGTCTTTCCCCTTCTGACCTACTTCACCAAACAAGCGTCTATAAACACCGGAGGCTCTCTGCATCCGATGATGTCCGATCATGGTCGGACGTCGCCGCTGATGCAGAGCACGCGCCAAATTTAAAAACATAATAATAATCCATGAGTATCAAGTGTTCGAGTGTAATGTTTTGGAAAAATTATGCAAAGTATTTTTTTCTTTCCGAATGAGATGCTTATATTGCGAGAGCTAAACATTCCAAAGGCCTCACATGTTTTTTTTTTATATCAGGACAAAATTGACACAATAAACACAACTTATTTACTTATTAATTTTTTTTTTGGTGGATACATCAGATTTATTGCGATATTATCGGCGTCCATATCATCTGGATGGATTAATTTATTACTAAATAAGTCGTTTATTATAGGAACAGCTTTTTTGATTGTTCGGTATAAACGTCTCTGTTGAGTAACTTTTTTACTTTGATGCGTTTCAGATGGTAACTTGTCGGAAAATGCCAAACTGGTTTTCTCCCTCCTCATCGCTATAAATGTGACTATACTATCAACGAGTTTAATAAGCTCTAGTTTGAATTTTTCTTTTTCGGAATTCTATTCATTGGTTTCTTTTTTCTTTACCAATTTTTAATGCTTCCAGAATCTTCTGCTGGTCAGAAAATCACAATCAAAGCTCTCGTTGATTATTGAATTTCTCTCATCTATAGGAAAGAATGAAAAGGTTGAATATAGAGGTACCTACCTATACTTAATAGTTAATGTTGAAATGTCTGCACATCTAAAAACGCCTACATGAGCATCAGGGCAATAGTCTTTTATATCGAAAATGATCACACTATGTAGCCACCAAGCAAAATACCTGAAAAAAACCTATTCATTCTTTAGGCTTGCAAGTAATTCGATGTAATGTTCATGTGCTAGGTACGCACATTTTGAAAACTTGCAAATTGTGGATACTTGGGCCTCTACAGGCCCCAATATTCTGACATATTTTTCGACTCAGAATAGATATAATGAGCTAACAATAATGCATACAAGGTGACCCATCAATAACTTATTGACATAAGGGTGTAATTGATAAAATACAGGGTGTATCTTAAATGATGACTTTAATTTCAGGTGGTGATTCCTTGTCATATTTCATGACAAAAAGTTACTATAAACGTGTGTCCTAACTTGCTCCATTTCCGAGTAACGGGGTGTCCAAAGTTTAATGAAAAAGTAAAAAGTAACAGAGAAGCGCAGACATTGATTGCATAACGATAACGTTTTGCTATTAATTTCCAATAATATCAAACTCAGCAACAACATCAGCGTACAATAGTTACTACAGTGAATATCACACACCACTGGAAACAAAATTCAAAATCTACTTCCATGAAAAAACACACGAAGTTTAATCAAAATCGGCGAACAGTATTTTGAGTAATTCATGAAAAACAGATATTTAATTCAACTTTGGACACCCCGTTACTCGGAAACGGAGCAAATTAGGACACACGTTTATATGAACTTTTTGTCATGAAATATGACAAGGAATTACCACCTGAAATTAAACTCATCATTTAAGATACACCCTGTATAATGATAGTTCTAGCTACGACGTTGTAAAACGATTGATTACAAATAGGGCACCAAGTCATTCTGGATTTCTGGTAAAGACGAAAAAATACAATGCCAAAATCCATTCGTACACACAATAACCACAAATAATAAGAAGTAGCTGGGTGAAAATCAAACGCGCGCGAAAGGCAGCTGCGAATGATCCGAAGGTGATCGGACATCATCGGATGCGGAGAGCCTTCGGTGTTTATAGACGCTTGTCTTCACCAACTTAGCAAATCCCGCGCCAAAATACGACGCTTCACCCTTCGTTTCCATTGGTCAGCTTCTTCGCCTGGAAACATCCGAAATGTTCTAGAACCACGAGCGCTCACCAGTTGCTCCCATCCACTTCGACACTTTTATCAGTTTGTGCGTATCCACCAAATACTAACCTAAACCTATCTTATAATAATACTGTGAAATTATGAGCTTGCATGGTACACGAGTTGAAACAAGAAGCAAATAAGAGCAGATGATGTCGCGTTTGCGAATATCCAAACGTGCCGCGTTTCTATCTGATCTTAGTTAGTGGCAGAGCGTCAATACTTGCCAGAATATTTCGCCTTCCTCTGAAGATTATATCCATTGAACCATTGTGAAACTCAACAAGTGGTTTAGACGAGGGTTTAGAATACTTATTGTAGTGTGAGTATCACATCAGTTTCACGCTGGTCCATCGGATATTATCTTTCGACGAGGACGAAATATTCACCAACATAGATCAGTTTGAATCGCGACACGTTTGGATATTCGCGAAAGGAACATTTCTCCCTTTCATTTGCTTCTTGTTTCAACTCGTTGTCACATGGCAGAAGTTTGTCCGGAAAAATAGGAGCAAATGAATCTCTGTGCCGTGGATTTGGCTCGGACTGATTCTTATCTCGTTATCAAATCGTGATATCAAGTGCAAATTTCCGCACAGACACGTGCTATTTTTTTATCATTTTGCTCAGGATAGTGATTGGCACAAGTGCCGTTCGATGAACAACAATATTTTTACATTCGTTTTGGACATATATATCATCTCGTTCTCAGATGACGGTAGAATTTTGGAACCGGCACTCCTACTAATGGTAAGTAAACAAAGATCATACTGATTTATCAATAATTTGGTGTACTCCACTATAAAACCTTGAATATTGTTTGAAATGAGTTATACCTCATTTTATTCCAAAATCATCCAATGTCAAAATGAGATTCTTTCTTTTGGATTAACTGCATGGTCATCTGATATGAGTGTGTATTCACTCACCATCTTTATTACACAATCTGACATCATCTAAAGCCCACATTCCTTGATCAGTGTCTGGTGCATTCTGTATCCGGGTAGGATACATGAATAATTCCTCACCTTTCAATTTCGAGTTGTCATAAATTACTTTGATTGGCTTCCACACTTCATTCTGAAAAAGGTCAAAACCATAGCCATCAATTATATCTCAATAGCAATATTATTCAATATTATTTCATTGATATATGAGGAATCTTCTGAAACGGTTCGATTTTCATTCTCAATTTCCCATATTGGATATACAAGGTGATCCACGTTCTAGTATGACGTCCCAGACATTTTTTTCATCACCCCAAATATCATTAAATTTTTGTAATCTCCAAGCATGGCTCGAATGAAGTATAATTCGACTCAGTGGGTTTTTTCCAGAAATCGTTTCTCTCATTATTTACGAATTTATTCTCCTCTTTACGAAAGCCCTGAATTTACCGGAAGCACTGTATACGAATCCTATATGTGTGATATTTTTTTGAATTCAACTTCCCATAGATATTCTAGAAATTGAATAATAATATGGGGTGTTCTATTCAAAGAAACTGTCGCTTACGTCAATAACCCTGTATATATATTCAATTTTTCCTTTTGAATTTGTCAAAATGAGAATAAAAATCGACTTGTTGCAGGAGATTCCTCAGAAACAGATAATTTGGCTGAAAAATAATGTATTCAGTACTTTACGAAAGTACTGTATATCGGGTGTCCTCGTAATGTGGAAAGCTCTATTGTTCCTTTCTCCATTGCGATAAGAGTTCGACAAAATCTTCTTTAATGCATAATTTTGGATGGAAATTATGAAAACAAAGATCTGCAGGCATATATTGGATTCCACATGATTTTGTGTATCATTCTTTCTTGCAATAATTCTAGACAGCTTTGGCAATGCCGCCAAAGAATTGCAAAAATAAGACATACTTATGTAGGAAGATAACGACAAATCTGGATGTGAGAAAATACAAAATGTTCCATTTGAAAATGCGTGACTCATGTAGCCCCATGTTCAAAGAACATCCTGTAGGGATTAAAATGATTTTGATTTTCATACCTCACGATATTGTACTACCTTTATTCCCTAGAGAATGTTGTATATAAGTATCTCTCATTGCAATGGAGCTACAGAGCTTTTCCACACTATGTGGACAGAATAGATACAAGTAAATTTTCTCTCTTGAAGAGAATACTCCTTTATTATTCTCATTCCTTTATCATGAACTCACCGTAGTATTAAATGTTTCTCTCAATAAAATCTCGTTCCTGTTTTTAATTGTCAGTGTCAATGAACATGTATCACAGAGTGCCATGAACATTGAAATACAAAGTGTGTTTTGTTGTAATTGGATGGAAGGACCTAACTGATCAGTACCCTTCGAATCAGAGTAGAGATATTTGTCTGAAAACAAGAATACATCATTCTACTTGAACAGAATTGTAGATTTTTTATTGATACCCTATACCTTATTTTTCTCATTTAGTGTATAAAACCCTGAAAACGTGAAGTCTAATATTCCGTTTTCCACTAGACTGAAAATTTCAATCGGTGAATAGGTATATCAATATAGATAAAAAACATTCAGAGCGGAAAAATCCCGAGCTAGAGAGAAGATTTATATACTCTCATTACGAATGGCAATAATGATTTGAACGTAATAAAATTTCCTCAGAAGTTGACACTCTGAAAAACCAAATAAAATTTTTAGAAGTAGAAAATGTACAAGTGAAAAGCAAAGTTTTAGGACTTGAAAGAAAAATCAAGAAATTTAATTTTATTGTTTATGGCATCGAGGAAAGTGAAAGAGACAATTATTGTGAAAAAATTATCGATGTGATGATTTCTATTCTTGGGATTGATTGCAGTAAGTCAGATTTTCGAGACCTGTATAGAATTGGTAAACCACAAGAAAAAAAGCAACGTCCAATAGTTTGTGAGGTAGTCAATTATAGTTTGAAACAAACTGTTCTCGTGAATGCTAAGAAACATTTTTCTGAATTGAAGAAACTAAACATTTTCTTCGGACAAGACTATCCTGAGCAAGAATATAAGGAAAGGAAATTTATGATTGAAAAGAGAAAGGAAGCATTAGCAGATAATTTAACAGCAGTTTTCAAAAATAATAATCTAATTGTGAATGGAAAATCCTTCACATATGAAGAACTGAAACAGGAAGAAAATGTGGACATGAATAATCCAGTTGACATCTCATTGATGCACTATCAAGTAACACCCAGCAGGATACGACCAGTTGGAACAAACGGAAACAGGAAGAAGAGGCAGAAAAGGAGGATCCAGGAAAATTTCCAAAGAAAAGCACTCGCTCACAGTTGAAGAAGTGAAATCAAAAATTGGTTATTAATTATTGTACAGTTAGAACCTAGACTACTTTTAATTTAATTTTTCTATGACTGTTGAAAACTAGACCCTTTTAATGTAACATTTTTGTTGGGTAACTGGATGCATTACACAAAACAAGCCACGCCCCATGTGTAAGAGCCTTTACACAACAGGCTATGGCCAATCAGCAACAAAGCAGATTCATTACCTACAAAACAGTTGACACCAGTTGTAATGATAATATGGGGCATGCAGTGAAACTTTTGAATCAGACTCGTCATAAAATGTCATAATTTGACAATAGCTATCTGGCGTGATTTAGAACTGACTTTTTGTACAAATATGGATTCAGAAAGCGAAAATGAATTCAACTGCTCTCCACCATCAGAAGTTTCGAAAGCTGCCAATTCAAGTACAATCAGCGTTTTGCCCGAGGAATCTAAAAAAAGGTATGAAGTGGTTTGGCGAAAAGCAAAACTTGCAAATTCGTTTTCGGATAATGTACTGCTAGCCTATTTTGGCGAATTAGCAGCTAAACACAAAGCATCCTCCTTGTGGTCACAGTATTCCATGAATATACTAAGAAGCACAATTTCAATGGAAAATTATGTGAATATTGACAAATATTTGAAATTACGAACATTTCTAAAAAGGAAATCTGATCGATATGTGTCAAAGAAAGCGAAGATATTCATTGCTCATGAACTCAACCAGTTCATCACTCAGTCATAGAAAAATTATAGTATTCTACTTGCGTGTAATGGCTATTACTCATTCGAATGATTACGACGTTCGCCTGCGGCTCACGTCACAAACTTCATTCTCATGAGTAATGGCCATCATTACACGCTCGTCGAATGATATACTATTAAATCCTTCACCATTTTGTATTATATAGTATTTATAGTGAAATAAAATTATCATTATTCTTTAAAAAAAAACATGGAGGACTATAATAATATAAGGAATTATGAGGCGGTAAAGGTAAAGACAGCAACTGCCGACACAATTGAGGAATGCAATACATTGCTCAATAAAAATTCAAATGATGAATTAAACATATTTCATAATAACATCAGGAGCATATCAAAAAATTTTGGGGAATTGCAGGTTATGTTGGAAGAGTTTATTGATCCCTTTGACATTATTATACTAACCGAATCCTGGATTGTTCATGATATTAGTTTGTATTAAGTAAGGGATTACACCACAATTTACCCAGAAAGTAATTGGAATAAATGTGATGGCACAATAATATTTATAAAATCTCACCTAAATTTTAGTCACCATATCATCACACTTAATAACATAAAGGCAATCGGAATTGAATTGAGGATAAACAAGAAAATTTTCAATATTTTAGCACTCTACAGGCCCCCATCTACTTGTGTTTATGACTTCAATTTACAATTGAATAATCACCTCAAACGAAAACAACCAGAAATGCACATAGGCCTCATCATAGGTGATATAAATATTGATATCATGGACGAAAGTGATTACTGTCACGAATACTTGAAACGAAAACAACCAGAAATGCACATAGGCCTCATCATAGGTGATATAAATATTGATATCATGGACGAAAGTGATTACTGTCACGAATACTTGATATAGTGCAGGAACACGGCTATCAGTCTGTGATAAATACTGAAACTCGTATACAAGAGAATAGAAGAAGCTGTTTAGACCACATCTTCTTGAAAACCAAAGAAAATTATGAACTCTTTATTCCAATAGTATTGAAATCTTGCCTATCTGATCATTTTGCAGAGATTCTCCAATATGAATTCCAGAATGAAAAAGAAGAAAAAATCGAAGGAAAATATCTGAAAACTTATCTTGATTACAGCGTTTTGAGAAATTAATTATCAGGGGAAAATTGGCTTAGACTATATGAACAAACTGATGTAAATGAGGCAACCTGTTTTTTCATTGATAAGATCAAAGAATATATATCATTGAGTACCACTCGTACACGAATGAAGAGAAATAATTGCAAAAGAAATCCTTGGATAACGAATGGACTTGTCAAATCAATAAATAGAAAGAACCTCATGTACAAAAATATTCAGAACAATCCAGGAAACACAGAATTATTAAACAATTTGAGGAAATACAGAAATTCGTTTAGTGAACTAATCAAACAAACAAAAATAAAATTTCATCAAAAACAGATTAATGAAACTAAAAACTGTCCGAAGGACATGTGGCGTTTCGTGAAAAATCTGCAGAAAACTGAGACTGAGAAAAAAGTATTCAAAGCAATTAAATCAGGTGATACCATATTAACCAATAAATGCGAAATTGCAGAAACTTTTAATAATTATTTCACGGACATTGGCGCGAATCTTGCTGCAAAAATTAACAAACCTAAACAAAAATTTCATAGTGAACCCGTACAAAATTCAATTCATTTGAGAGAAACCGACGGAAATGAGGTAAGAAAAGTAATGAAAGAACTCAAGAACAAAAAGGCACCAGGTCTAGACAATATTGGTGCAGATACAATAAAGAATTGTGTTGAATTTCTTGTAGGGCCCATCACGTACATTGTTAATCAAGTTCTAACAACTGGTGTTTTCCCAAAACCATTGAAATTAACTGTCATCAAACCATTATTCAAAGCTGGAGACAAACTGGCTGTATCGAACTATAGACCGATATCACTTCTTTCAAATATTAGTAAGATAATAGGAAAAATCATAAAAATCAGAATTACCGATTTTGTACAGAAATTCAAATTGATTTCAGATCACCAGTATCCCAACTAGCATTTATAGTCGCGATTACGTAATTACGACTATTGGGTCGACTATTAAGTAATATTTACTAGTTGCGGTTACGTTATAATTACGTCGTAACTACGTATTTACGACCAAAATGGGGAACAAATCACGAGTAATTATTACGGTTTGCCGACGTAGCGGGAACTCACACAATTACGTAATGCTTACGACCCGTCGATGTCGAAATTACGTAAAGATGTAGTAAATTTTCCTACCTGACTTTCTATTTCTTTTCCACTTCATAAAAATATTATTTTCTCTCTTTATTATTCTTCATTTCATCCATGAAGTTCACATTCACGAAAAATGAACAAGTCCAATATGCCTAACCATTCAATAAATAATACAAGGACAAACACGCGAAATAATTGATACTCGAACTTGAAAAATTCGAACAACATTCAGTTTTTCGATAAATGTGATGATTTTGCCTCGAAATTCAAGATGCGCCCACAAAATACGGCTCATTTCACCAAAAATATGGTTTTATTTCATTCGGCTATTTTTCAAAAATCATCGTAAATCATGTTAATTTCCATTATTATGCAATTTGTGATCGAACGAATGCTATTATTCTTCATAAAATGATGTTTATCAACAAGAAAAACCAAAATTATTTCCTGTTCAAATGGTTATCACATCAATCAATATGGCTTCCAATCGAAAATGAATCATAAAGTTACTTTTGGAACTCGTCAGTTATGATAACCTATGTATTGGTAACTTCAACTGAATATAATTACCGAAAAGTTGTTTCAACTATGAAGGAATTGTTTGAGTAGGAATTACCAATATGTTACTCGAAATATCACCAAGAATTGACTAAATTATTAGGTGATCGATCAAGTAACGACAACGTCGTAGAAACCTAATTGGTGACCATAGAGTAATTGCAACTGTGAAGCCTTCTTGGGGTGGTAAGCGTTACCGTAATAATATATCCAAAGTTCCGAAACCTTAAGGTGGGGTTTACCCTCTGAAAAAGGTCAAACTTAATCTAAGGTGTAAAGGGGGAAGTAAAAATCCTGTCCGAAGGAGGCGGGGCCCGATAACGAAGAAAGTCGTCTAGTGTCTCACTCCAACTCATTCTAGCGTAAAATATTTCAACATTTCGACGCGTCCATGCCAAAACGGCACAAATGCCATCGAGTCAACTTTACAGGAGAGACTTAAAACTGATTAACTTCATTCGTGATTGCCACACAAGTCTGCTGGATGTCTTCAATGAAAGATTGATTTTTTTCATTATTTTTGATGAATGTCTGATGAAGA